TACATGCATTTTGAAATTGGGCAAATTGAGTTTCGCAGTATTTACTTTTAGATCATTAAAATCATGAAAAATTTAGATCATTTTTATAAGTTTAAGTTTAAATACAGCGTTATTCAATTAAATGTGCATCGAAGACCCAATATACGGATTATGGAATTATTCTTCGTGATTAAGGAAATGTTAATAATTGTTTGAAATGGCATGCAAGTGATTAATGGTCAAGGATAAATTTTTCGGCAATCAATATTTGAATACTTTCACCATAAATGAATTCTTCTATCTAAAAGAGAAGTGCCAACCACTCCTATTAAAAGCAATTCGAAATTTCCATTAAATTAAAACAGAGGATAACACACTGAATAAACAGTCCAAAATCCAAACTGAGAGGATATTTTTATTTTGAGTTGTTTTAATTTTTCTAAATGGATGGAAAACGACAGGTCGCCCATTTGGCGGGCGTAGTTTTTCCTCTGCTCCCGATTCACACCACTGCACTGGGTCAACAAACTTTTTTAATTTGGGTAAAACGGTAATATTTCCAATTACATTTGTAAACTCGAGTCCCCTTAGATAATGTGTTTAGCGAGCCGGCACTAACTCATGCTTCTTCCCCGCCCTAGCGAGCCAACTTGAATCGCTCCACTATGCAAAATTCGCTTATCTTTCTGTTAAAAAAGCAATATAAAAAAAATCGTCTCTTCGCCCGTTTGGGTATTTCAAAAGTCGACATTCTCCCTGGGAAAATTTCTTGTTTGTACGAGTGGAGAGCAGTGGCTAAAGCTGAACTTACGAATTCCCCCCAGAGCTTTTAGTTCAGTGAATCCTTCCTCTTTGTTTAGTTAAGACGAAGTTCTAAATTATTAATAAAAGTATGATTTTTAACAACAATTTTTAACTTGATTGTTCTCATATAAAAAGATAAATCTGTCGGTCGCTTGAAACCTGAAGGTTTCCCATCTGGTTTCAGGATGTAGTTGGATTTTGTTTTAAATTTTTATTTCCTGGCCTTTTACTATACCAGCTGAAAATCCGTTTCTTTTGTAATAATTTGTTTGATTGGTATAGATTTGTATAGCAGCTTGTGTGACAACATTTTTGGATTGCTAACAGAATCGTTTCTAAAAAAATATTTTTAATTTAAGCACGATATCAACTCAAGCATTTCTTTTTGACAGTTGTTTTTGTAACGTTTCTTAGTAAAAGATTGAAGTGTGTTTCAAACTGCTTTATTATTGAATAGAACCGCGCGGAATTCACTAATTTGATCTTTTTCAACCCCCTTCTTCCTCTTGAATGCAGAATAAAATTTAGAGTGATAGCATTAATTAATATCTTAAAAACAGAGCATTCTGCCAATACTTTTTGATAAATAATTCATTTGATTTATGATGCTTGATTGAAGGATGCTTAGTTTCCAGAAGGTAAGTGAATTACCGTGTCACTATAGGGAATTTCCATGGATTTCGTCGACGTTGGTGTAATATACAATTTAAATTAGGATGTGTCTCCTTACATACTTAGACAACAGCTTCGAATTATTCAATAAACATTTGTGTAGATTTTTAATTTTTCCAGTGGGTGTCAAATTTTGATATGGTATATTTTAACATATTGTATAATTATATTTTAAGCATTACATTCATTTGATTGGGACATACGAAGGATTATTTAGTGAAAGAAAGAAGGCAGAAGCTGGAACTCTGAAATTTTGACTGTTATTCAATTCTATTCTTTAATCAATGTTCTAACATTATTCTTACTGATTATTCGGAAATCGTGAGATGCGGTCTGGTGTGATGTAGGTTTCAGAAAAACATTTTCTTTATCGTGCCACGTTTCGACCCTTATTGAGATCATCTTCAGGGCCAGAACGCAGAAAACAAACACTTTGAGTTAGTAGAAATACTTTGATTGAATATAAAAAATATTTTTTTGCATTGTATAAATTCACTTTTTTCCACATCCTACATGTATTTGTTAAATTTAAACAAAGTTTGTAAACGTAAACGTAGGTTTAGAAAAACATTTTCGCTATCGTGCCAACATTTCGATCTTTATTGAGATCATCTTCAGGGCTCAAAGTGTTTGTTTTCTGTGTAGATGTGTCATCATTGTGCGGCGTGTTGAGAGTGCCCCGACACACAAGAATGGCATAATTACGCAGAAAACAAACGCTTTGAGCCCTGAAGATGATCTCAATAAAGATCGAAACGTTGGCCCGATAAAGAATATGTTTTTCTGAAGCCTACGTCACTCCAGCCCGCATCTCACAATCTCCAAATAATCATTAATCGACAGTCACTAAACACCACACATAGATTCTATAATTCAATGTTAGTTCTCTTAAAACCTTTGTTTCGTTTTATTGTTATCGTGTTTATTAAAAATATATATTTTGTTATTTACTATGAGACCAAGCTTGGCCAGATTCTACATTTTCTTTATATTGCTAGTAATAACTGGAAATACTGTACGGCATCAAGGGCGTAAAATTAAATAACTTGTTTGAACCAAACGTTTGCTGTGGCTAGGGCAAGTAGGTAGCTGTTTCTCGCTGGAGGTTAATGTTATAAGTACAATATGTTCAATTCATCTAAATTTTCAACTTTGAAACTTTGAAAATGGAGGGAAATATTTAGTTGCGATACAGCCAGCACACCAAAAAGAAAGGGTTGGCCAACTAAACGGCCGTCGGTTAGCTGTGTAAAATAGCTTTCGCTTTGCCCGGACTTGGCCTGACTCTCAAATGAAAGCTGTACGTTACAACCAGAACAAAAAAAATCATGTTGTACAGGGTAAATATCAAATTCATTATTGTAATTTTAATAAATTTGGACATTTGAAAGTATTCTCATTGTCCTTAAACATTTAGTGAGTCATTTGGTATTGTTTATTATTTATTTTTGTTTTAATTCCATTCATATTACACTTTGTAAATAGCTTACGTTTACGTTTTATTCATTCTTAATAAAATTCTATTCACAGTCTTAATATTATGACAGACGATTCTGTCTCATTTATGGTAGATTAGTTAAATTTTAGAAAGGCCATTTATTTACTTTCCCTGTTTAAACACTGTTTTCTAATCAAATATTGCAGGTGATCGACATTGATTGAATCAATTATGTGTGTCTTGTCGTTAAATGTAAAGTTCGTTTTTTCATGGTTAATCTCTGAAAAAAAACCTAATTCAGGTTAGGATATAAGATAAGTAAACAAATTAAACCGAGATGAAATGATAGCCTTGGAAAAGTAAAGAATGGTATTTTTCAAAAATTCAGAGGAAAAGTCGAAATTTTACACGAAACAATTTCAAGTTAATTTTAATGTTCTGAAATTCAAAATTCGTTAAAAGTTTAATCTTAACCATAATGAGGAAAGTTTGTCTAAATTATCTGATGTGCGTGAACTTTGATAAATTCATTTATCTGGATTCTTCTAAAATGAAAATTAACTATGATAGTGAAGAATTTTGGAAGGGAATGTGTACATGGAGAATCACGTAATACATACGGAATTGCTTTTATTTTCTGCACGCCGGTGACTTTCATCGTCTTGTCTGTCACGTCGTCACTAAAATAAGTTGATGATTCAATTGCACATCGTTGTCGATTTTTACCCGGCTTAATTGCCCACTATTCATGAAATGTGCAAGACCCTTAACCTCAGGCATTCGTGCTTCCGGCCAGCTACGTCCCCCAATCGTTTTTTATTCCGGGGTTGGAGAAATTGCCTAATTTATAAAATCTCCCGGAGGGCACTTTTTAAATTCCCTGCCGCTCTCACGCAGAGCGAAGGTATTTTTCAAGCAAATAGAAAAATGTGGCCTAAAATAAAACAGAACTGTCCTGCGGCGATTCCAAAAGATTATGTTATTTATCTGCACCTATATATTTAATTCCAGGCCCACAGAATTTGTCTTGTCATTTTCGAAGACGATTCATTCGAAAACAGAACGAGGAAAGTATAATTTGACCACAAATTTCAAAATATGATTAACAAGATTAAAAATCTTTGCAAAGGATGGACCTTTCGAAAATCGATGGGCGACATATAAACCCAATTTTTACGGAAAAAAATATTATTTAATACCCTCATTGATTCAACCCGAGGTTGGATAGTAAGAAATGAAATTAAACTAGAATTGCACGTTGAAATTTTGTTGTGTCCATCCAAGTTTAACACACGACGTGCAATGTCAAAACTGACTTTCAATTCAAGCTATGTATGAATTTTTTAAATCTCTCGCTCGTCCTGACAGATTAAAAGATAAATTTTCGCACTTATTTTACCTTTATGTTTAACTATCATTGTTTATTACAAGCTACAGGCCCTAGTTTGTTTTTCAGTTTAACCAGACGTAATATCTGAAACTGCATTAAAAATTATTAATTCCAAATATATACCATATTTCTGATTTTGTCTTCTGCTTTAATATTATCAATGAAAAAGACCCTTGCTTGGTGAAAAAGGTGCTTATATTGCATAGTGCATCGCACGTATCCATATGCTTTCATACGCCTTTTCGTGGTCGAAGATTACTACCACAGTATTTTCTTGGATCAGAAATTGTCCTGAACACCTCCTTCTGCCAGACAACATGATCCACCGCTGAACGTTGCCTGCAGAATCCTGTAACAAAACTCGCATTCATTGTCCCTTCAAAGTTTGTTGCTGTTCAATCATAATTCATTACATGGTAAAATTTACTTGTTATGGCGACTAAATTGTGTTTGCCACGGTAGCAGTTCTGGGTTCGAATCCTCTCATGGCCCATAGATTTTAAATTGAAATAGTATAAGAAAGCTATTGCTACGTGACTTTCTGACATAAATTATTGTACCTACTATGTACTACTTTAGTAAGTCAGGCAGACGAATAAACTTAACTTATGGGAAACGAATTTTTTGACATTATATTTATAAAGTAAAATGTTTTATGATTTTAATGTTATTAACAACAATGCGTAGGTATGTAATACGTTTTTGTTTTGTTTGCAGTTACTTCCCCCAGCGAGAGTACGAGGATGCTCCCGTGCCAACTTATACTCATGGTGCTAACACCATTTCTTCTGAGGTAGTACAGCAGTCCTCGTTGAAGTAATACTCCGCCTGTTATTTTCCGGTTCAGTTGTGCACACAGTATGTGTTATTAGACAGGATGGCGAAATTGTTTGCAAGTGCCAGACGGAAGCAGGGTATCCCTGCTGAAGCCGGTCATACCTTGGGATATGACTGGAAACATTGTTAAGAAACCGTACATGTAATTTTTGTATAGTCCTGTATTTTATACTATAATGTACTAGAGCAAGTTGTACATATTGCTGTATGTAGTTCATATAGCTCTTGTTCCTTTTATCGTCCCGTCAGGCGGGCAACTCCGGTGGAAAATCTATAGGGATGAAAAAATTAGAATTTATTGAACCATGTATAAAATTTAGGACCCGACGGTGATTAGGACTGACGCCGCCGTCAAACTGATCGTCGCCATTTTGGTGCCCAGTTGTGGATAAATCATTTTAGCTAAATGGCTAGTCATTAAAATTTTACCAAATGTTTTATACCCACTTTTGCATTTATTTTACATTAAGGCTTAACACATAAACCCACATAATTGTTTAACTTTTGTTAATATTTTTTAAAACAATATTTCTGTGATATATATTTTTCCCAGAAATTTTTTATCGTTGTTAATAAATCTATTATAAAAATTTTTAATTATTGATAACATTCGCAAAGCACAAATTCCATCCACACGTCATCAATCATAGGTATGTTATAATTGTTAAAAATATGATATAATACGACATAAATATATAAGTAAAAATGATAAAAAAATTATGTGTGTGCTCAGTCAATTCGACAAGTGTTAAGAGTGTTAAGGCGCTGTACATAAATATTTAGAGCTTTATGTTTCTATTGATATGTGTTTTAATAGTAATGGATCATATTTAAATATAGCTGGACATTTATTGATATTTTTTTAGCTTTAGATATTTTCACCCTGTTTTACGTATTGATGTAATGCATCAGTTTCATTATACCAATTTGTGTACAAAACTGTATCACTATTTGTAAATTCAATCTCTTGTAAACCTCAATCTTCGAATGTAAATAAATATTTAATAAAAACAGCAAAGGTTTTTCTTAAATGTTTTTTTCTTACTACCCAAAATACTTATGCGGCTATTTTAATGACAATTACGTACTATCTTTTCAAAGGAATATTTTACCTACTTTTCTTGCAACAAATTTAATTTTACATTAATGATTCTGCTAATTGAAAAGTATTTCAATAATCTTTGTTAAATAATTGTGCTGAGTTTTTACATATTTTAACGATTTGTTTGTTTTTACGAGATACCAACCAAAAAAAGTACATCAGTTACGTTTTACTGGTCAATTGGCCAAGTTACATCTTTCAATTAATTATTCTTTCTAAGGAAATTTTGAAACTCATGTCGTAAGCACAACCTTAAACAGTTTTTACTTTTTGCTCTAATATAAGTTTTACGTTCAATATGTTTATTTAATTCTTATGAAATTGTTTCATTTTAACATGTTTCATTTATGGTTATTTTGTATTTATTATTTATTTATTTATGTGTATTGTTGTCGTGCTAGAATTTTAGGGTGTCAATTTACTCTGCCCATAAAAGGTGAGGGTCAATAACCAGATTGAGACATTCATTGTCTGCAAAATAAAAATAAAAATAAATAAATAATACACATATAACAAAAAAAAAAAATCATGAACGCTCGGAGAGACAGCGATGGCCTTAGCTGTATTGGCTTCTAAACTTTCCTCATTATATATTTCCATGTTATTCGAAGTAGGAGGAAATTTGCGTTTAAACAATCTGTTTCGAAATTCATAAAACTTAAGTTGTTGACGGAACGGCTTAAGCTATGTTGGTTTCATAGATTACTGCTGCCTTTGACAGTATTAGTAGAGACGTCTTTCTGAAACTATTTACGGTATGGATCTCTAGCAAATTTTTCAATACCTTCAAAGGTTTTTATGGCTTTAAGGGGATAGAACGTGTCTTATAATGGTTCTAGGTGAGCTCGAGTATAAAACACGGTAGGTAATCTTTTTCTGTTTTTCCTTTTTCATAGAATGGCTTTCATGTACTACGATGACATTTCTGGCGGATGGTCCTATCCCTGAGAGGTAGTGCGAACAATGGAAATTAACGGTCAATCTCAAGCAAACAAAAGTTATGATTGGTTGGTTCAATTAAAAGATAAATGGTTTGTCAAAGGACAGCGAGTGATGTAAAAGAAAACAAAGACTTGAGTGTTTTTTAACTCCGCAGCTACCTCTCAAAAACCACTTCAGGCAGAAAGTGTCGAAAAGTGGGTTGAACAGATTTTGGTCAGCATTCTACACCAGGATTTGGTCCGACTACCTGCTAAGTTCATTCTCTCTAATAGCATGTGCTGATTTGTGCTTTATTAAACTATTCAAATACGGATTTTCAACAAGTCGACCCCGTAAAAAAAACTGCTGATATTATGCATTAACAAAACTGTTCTCACAACTTTTACCGTTTGCAAATTAGATATTGCAGCTAGACATTTCTGTTAGCCCGGTTTTTTTATTTACCCTTGAATTCCACTTCAACTGTGTACTAAAGTAATTGAATTATTCTTTCTACTGTCTCTCTAGAGTCACAACTCGTGAGATCATCATTCGAAATTGATATTGGTTAAATCACTACGACACGTTACTGAGATCTCATTCTCCTTTGATAACCCTTCTTTTTGGCCAGGAACACTATCACAGTCTTATATCTAATAGCAAAATCAAACTGCTAGGAAGTTTACGTTGAACGCGAAGTTTTCATTTGGTTACATTATCTGCAATACGAAGATTTTAATCTTGAAATTTCTTTCATTTAATTTTGAAGCGAGAAGTGAAAAAGGATCTCTCATGGGTATACGTTGGTTCTTTAAAGACTCAGGTGGACTCTCCCTTTGGTGTTTGTTGTTAGCTGTAAAATTATTTCACTTGTAGCTGTGCGTTCAGAGCTCGCCTAGTACAATTCAATTGTATTTTAGACAATCACTTAATATCAAGACATATTGATCGTATTCCGCTATCCTGGAGAGTAAGATCAAAACTTTTTGGTTTATGAGAAACTATGCAAAAAGTAAAAGTGTACACGTTTTGGATTTTTTCCCTAAAATGTCCCAAAAGTATAAGTATAAAAGGCAAAAAATGGTTTTAAGTTTTCTTTTAATAAAGTAATAATATTTATTATACACTGTTGTTTTTGCCTCCTATTTAAAATAGATTTTTTTTTAACGACGATTATTTAACCGATATAATCCTTATATATATAGTTTTTGTATATGATGTTGATGTTTTCTAACATTTGGATGTGTTGCAACGTCGACAAAACCCAAAAATGTCTTTCGGACTAAACAGCCATTTCTTTATTTCAAAATGGCATTCCGAACGGAAGTTGTAAGCATGGAAAAATATCGTTATAAAAAATAAATGAATATCTGAAACCATATGGCCAAACGTTTACATATTGTGTTCCAAGTTTGTCTCAAAGCCTTATTTACCTTGATCCTCGATTTACCCGCAAAGTGGACCAGACGCTTTTCGCCGAGAAAAGAAGAAAATGGGGTGAAAAAAAAGATAAGCCCTTCTCTTTTATTTAAGTCCGGAGACACCAGTTTGTTCCAAGGTGGAACTTTACAACGGCCAGATAGGCTATCTGCTCATTTAAATAGGAGCTCCGATCCTAAACACAGCTGATACGACTTGTTTTTTACAAAAGTCTTTTTATGTGAACGCTTTTCTGACGGACAAGAAATATACAAGGCTTGCTGTTAATTATTTCATCTTCCCTTCGAAAAAATAAAAACAATAATTTATTTTAAGGTGTACAATTTAGGAATGTAAATCTCATAATAATTAAAACGCCATGAAAAACAGAAAAACCCAAGAATAATATATAAGTCCGTTTGCCAAATATCTTGACTACTAGCTATGAACACCAAATTCTCAGGTCTCTCACTACGTTTTGCATACATGAAAACTGAGATCAATTTCATCGAATGAATAATAAGTAAAATATAAAAGTATAATTAAGATCTGGTCCACTCAGTTCAGTTATCTCGTGTTTCAAACATTAAATTTATTTTTTTCAAAAACAGAAGTGTATGCTTAGCTTAGCTTCGTTTATTATGCTTACTTTTATCATAAGTTTTGTATAATTTCTATTTTTTTAATTGTTTAATATTAATTTATAATATTTGGAAATGTAAACGATTAATTTGATTTTATGAATTTATTTGTATGAAAAACATGTATTTTTATTTATATGTATAAATATGATGAGCCTAACTCTGTGTGGGGTTGGCCCCTGGAAGCAAATAAATCATTCATTTATTTAATTGATAATAATTAAATTTTGTATCATATGTTTCAAGATTTTCATATTATTATCTTAAATAACATCGACAAACAGGACGCTCCGGATGTAGCTCATTAAAGCATATTTTGAAATGGATACTAAATTATTCGTTTTCCACTATCCTGTAGCGTTAGATCAAAACGTTTAGGCACATGAGAAACTATAAAAAAAGTGGGGTGGGGTACGCTCAAATAAAATAATGTAGGGTGTGGGGAAAAGAAATATTAAACTGTTATTGGGGGCGTTGGTGGCCGCAACGGTTCGGTTCGAATCCAGCGGCCCTGCATTTGAGCCCGACATACTTACAAATGTTTTTTTTTTTTCAAAAACACCGGCATCCCGAGAGTTGATATTACCTCTACTGTAGCGAAACTTCGAAAAAATTTTTTTTAAAGTTATGAAGGGATTTTCAAATCTAACATTCCAATTTTTCTTCCTTATTACATAGATCCGTATAAACCTTTTTATTGGAAACATTATTTAATGTACAAGTTTATTTTTTATTTTATTTTTTATTTTTTATTTCTTTTTATGATCTTGCATATTAGCCATAGTACGAATTTTTGTGTGTTCAAATTGGGGGTTATCGGGAAAAAAGGGCAAGAGGCGACGGTGGGAATCGAACCCACGACCGCGGCGTAAGAGTCTCTCATGCTAACCACTCGGCTACGGCGGTCCCCTACAAGTTTATTTACTGTTTATTATTTATTTTTATATATACAAGTTTATTAATTTTACGAAAAGTTAATTCTAGGTAGCAAATCATAATTTGGAAAATTAATCAATAGCATACAGGTATAAAAGTCGCATACACATGTGAAACAAGCTTAGTGCGTGATTACTATACGTTATCACAATTCAGATATGTTGTTTCACTTAGTCTTAGCGATGGAAATAACGATTCTTTTATGTGAATCGATCCCATCCGATTCAATCCATTGGGTGAGTCGGTTCTTTTTACCGATTCTTTGGTTCCCCCCCACTCCGATCACAAGAAGTTTTTATTATTGGTTCCTCCAGTCATCCAAATTTCTCACCACAATTCAAATTAATGAGTCATTCAAATTAATTTTCAATTCCAGTATTCATTTGCCACAACGAAAAATGTAATGTAGTATTAAGATTAAGTACATAAATTGTACTAAATCAATGCATATTCGGAGAGAATAGCAATGATGATAGTTTTAATAACTGT